CGAGTTCCAAAGAAATAGCACACCAGGGAGAAGCTGGCCAGGGACTTCTGGGGAAGCTGGTTTTTAAATAGCCAGCATCTTCTACTCCCGGCATCCAGAGTCAGGAGGAGCAGCCAGCAGAGCCGTGTGGAGGCCCTCCCAGCCCCACTGGCCGCCTTGAGGGCGCTTCTTGTGGTGTCTGTTTTTAAAAAAAAAAAAAAAATATGGAGAAACAACACTGTAGCCCCTTATGATTGGAAAGTAATCAGAAGAGATCATGCCTCCAGAGCACTGCCACCGTCATGCCAAGCCCAGTGGTACCGCCCTTCCCTGCTTTCGCTGTTCCAGGGCACATGTCCTCACAAGGAGATAGGTTCCCCCTTTGTAGAAATCATATGCAGAGAGACTGAACACGCAGTTGCTTTGTGATTCTTGTTTCCTAGGTCTTACAAGGCAGAGAAAAGCCACAGGGCCAATATTTTACAGTTCTGAAACACCAAACTGTGGATAAATTACATTTGACCCTCCCTCTAAAAAATAAAGACCATGTTCTGGAAGACAGAAGACTTGGGAATCACTGGGTCTCCTCATGGACACAGGAGTAGGTGTAGCTCTTCAGATGTCGCTGGGTCCCCAGGGACAGCACAGAGAGGTGCTGTCCTGTCTCTGCAGGGCTGGTGTCTTAGTTACTTTTCTCCCTGCTGAGGCAAAATCCCAGAGAGGCAGGTGTTTAGCTCACATTTCTTAGAGGTGTCAGAGCATAATCAGCTGGCTGCAAGACAGGTTGACATGGCGCAGGGGCAACACGAGAGAAAGAAGCCTCTTTCCAGCCTTTGTGTTATTAGATCAGGTCAACCCAGCTTAGGATAGGGACATTCCAAGTAGTGGGCTAGCAGTCACCCACTCTTAATCCCAGCATCACACTACAAATCAGTCCCACAGTCTAGATTCAGCCACCTCTGGGAGAACTCCATGACTGCGTGAGGCTTTGGTGGGGGTCATCTAGCCATAGACTGACAGCTGGATTAAGCCATTCCATTAAAGTCCCCATAGAGCTGCTCAGTATTTTATTCCCCCATGACCACAGAGCCTTTGTGTCTCCACATACCCTGCACCTGCCCCACACACGCACGCACGCACGCACGCACGCAGGGATCACCGTGACCGCTGCCTTGTTGCGTGGCATGCCGTACCCCAGGGGGGTGTGTGTCACCTGCTGGATTGCATGTCCTCACATGGGTCTGCATTATTTCTCTAAATTTTGGTTTTTCAATCATCCCAGGATTGCCCCTCAAAAAGCAAGTGGTTCCAGATCAGTTCGTCCCAGGATTGCATTAGTTGGGTCTGATCTGGGGTGTGAAGTGTAGCCGCGCGTTATAGGGTCCCCAGGGCCTGGGACTTGCTGACCTTGCCCCATGCGCTGGTGACCTTCAGTGAGGCCGGAGGGTTCCAGCACCCGTTGGCCCTGTCCTCCATGGAGCCTTTTTGCCATCTCCCTATCCACGGGAGTCTCTGCAGGAGTGTTTCACATTTTGTTGGGCATGGGAATATTGCATAGACCTCAGTGGTTGAGCATCTGAGATGCCCTGAAATCTGTGTGGTTTAGATTTTAGAGCATTTCAGGTTTTGGGTGTTCGGATTAGGACTGGTCGACCTCTCGCTGGCCACAGTGGTCCATCTGTGGAGCCTCTGTGATATCTTCTGTCCTGGATGACTCCTGAGCCCCAGGCAGGCACGGACCAAACCAGAGACTAGGTGTCCCTGGCTGCCTGCTGCCCAGGAGCGAGGGCGGGGCCGCTGGCAGCTTCGCGCTGTGAATTAACTCACTCTGAGCTTTGCTGCCCACCCACAATTCTACCCTTTCCAAGTCGGATAACAGACTCCATCCAAGTGTCTCCATCCAAGATGCTGTGAAGAACGTTGAACGCAGTAGGCTGCAGCAGTCCGACAGAGGCCACTGTCATCCTCCTTGGTGACGGTCCCCAGGACCCCTCTGCTGGAGTCCCTCGTGAGTGGGCATCCCTGCAGCTCAGCACCACCCCTTGGTTGATCCTGACACAGGCTACCTGCGCATCCCAGGGAACATTGAAGGTGATTGGAGGCTCACAGAAGACCAAGCAGCTGAAGATGGAAAGTGTGGCTCCATCGGCAGTGTCAGGCAGTGAGAAAGGAGACCAAGCACAGGGTGTCCTGGCGGTCACTCAGCTATGATCTGAGAAAGACTGGCGGTGGGAAGGGAAGAGAGCACTGCAGGGCCGTGTGCAGCAGTGTGCGACCCTGCTGTGTGCCAGAGACAGGGAGAGGAGGCAGACGTCTCTGGCGGGCAGAGCAAGAGAGGCAGCTGGCTGCTGTGGCGGGCATCCCAGGCAAACGGCCATCCCTGAGCCATGGTGTCCAGTGCACAGGTCAGCGAGGAAGTCATTGCTGAACCCAGGTCCCCAGTAAGGGAGGAAGGTGTGGGGGAGGAAATGAACAAGAAGCCTCGAGGAGAAGAAGAAAGATTTAGTACTGTGGAGGAGACCTGAAAGGGAACTTGTGTCCAGGCTCAGTGGAAGTGGGGCAGTTTGGAGAATCATGGGGTGAGTTGGGGTGGTGGATTGGGCAGGGCAGGTACCACAGGGAACATGTGCAGAAACTTGCAAGAAGTAGAGTCTGAAGTTCCTGAGAACTCCCAGCTCTGTGTCCTGAGCCAATTTTGCATGCACTGGTGCGTTTTGTTTACACAATTAATGGGGCAAAGCCACACCGTGCTTAGCAGTTTCATCAGGAAGTTTTGTCTTTGTGTGAAGTGTTGAGAATATCAGGGATGGAAGCAGCTGCTGCGTTAGTGTGAGACAAGCGGTGTAGACTCAGGACATCTCCCTGGCTCGCCACTGTCCTCAGCACATGGGCTTTATCATCTGCGCCTGCGTGTGTGCGTGCGTACGCACTCCATGCACAGAGGCCATCCTGTCTCCTGCCCCTACGCCCAGCCTGGCACCTGGAGTGCAGCAGGGAGGGCAGCTGGGAGCCCCAGCCCAAATGCCACACCCGTGTCCAGCAAATCCACATCTTTGCCCCCAGAACCAGGGACTGGAGCTCTTCCTTGTGGCAGGAAACCCAGAGTTCAGCTCTGCGGTGGATCCACATGCGGACATCTGGCTGGGAAGCTGCTGGTTGTGGTCATAACTTTTTTCACATGACAGCCCAATAAATTCTGGTCACTAGAGGAGCTTTTATGCGAGCATTTGAATCCACAGACAGAAGAAGGTATCAGTCTTCCGAGTGGGTCTCCTAATGAGCACCTGCCACCTGCCACCCGTGCACTTCCACGTTTTTCTTAGGGCCCATGGATGTGGTTACTTGCACACCCCACCTGTCAGATCACTGGGAGAATTTTGCATACAATGCAGGAGTTGGGGGTGCTGTGTACCAAAATCTGGGTGGGAGCAGGTTGTAATTCATAAGGTTAGCACAGAAAAGCTGATGGATCAAGAGGCCACGCTTTTTAAAACCCACACATGGTGGCTCGGCCAGTGATTGCAGGATGTGATTGTGGGTCAGCCATGGAGAAATCTGTTTGGAAGTCACAGAGAGTTTTTTATAATAAAAGTGCACGGATCTCCGAGTGCTGGGGGTGGGGGGCTGAGAGGGGTTGCAGGCCTCCCTGCCCCACTCCTACCCCACCTCCGCACACAGGTGGGGTGCCTCCCTCTCCCTAAACACAGAACTGCTAATTTTTTCAAATTCAAGGGCCAAGTTCCTAGTAAGCCCCCTACTTTCTGAACTCCAGAACCAGATGAATGCAGATAGCAGGCAAACTCCCTGGGTTGCCCAGGGGGAGCCAAGGATCCCCACATCTCCTGTCTCCTGATGAGGCTGGCCCCTCTCTGTCACTTGCAGGGGTCATAAAGCTCAGCTGCTGGAGCCCAGGCCTGACCCTACCCTGGGTCCCAGCCTTTGCCCCTGCCACAGCAGCTTTTAACCTTGAGTGGCTGGAGGAGGCCTTGGGCCAGGACCACAGTGTCTTGGCTCCCAGAAGACGGCTGCCTGTTGTCTCCTGGGACTCAAGGGGACGAGGAAGGGGTGGCTACCATGGCTCTGAGGCAGGAAGCGGGAGGTGGCATCAGCGCTTGACTGAATCCAAGTGAGGATAGAGGACCAGGCTTGGCGGTGGCTGGCATGGCCAATAACAGCTGCTTGCCGGGTGTGTATCACACCACTCGTGAGACCTGGCACCCAAGAGCCACATCAGACTTCCTGCTGGCTGGTTGTCACTGGTCCTGTTCTCCTCTGGCAGGGCTGGGGCTCTGCTGACAATGACAGTAAACAGCCAAGAGTCTTCATGGAAGGGCTCCTATGGGCCAAGCTGATGGGCACCGTGTCACAGATAGAAGCAGTGTGCATTTCTCGCATGAGCAAAGCCAGCCTCGCGTGTCTAGGGCCTTGTCAGGTGGGCACCCAGTGGTACAGAATGTGGACACAGCCCTTCTTCCCCAACCCAGCCAGGCCCCGGGGTGCCTGCGAGTCTCGGCTGGGGCCTTTCTGAGTCACTGGAGTTCCGCTCTCCTGGTCTTCCCGCCGTGCCGGGCCCTCCGCCTTCCAGCCTTCCGTTGCTGGGGGTGACTGAGTCTCCACCCAGGGGCTGAGCAAGGATTCAGACTACGCCCCGAGATGAGCAGTACTAACTTCCCTTCCTCCTGCAAGTCTGGGAATCAGCAGTGAGGCACACACTTAATCCCCACGTTGCTTGGTGTGTACCCGGCACAGGCACACTGGTGTTGCCCACTGCTTTCCATTCTTCCCTGTCCCCTGAGCATTGATTGAAACCCAGCTAAGCCCACTGGCTTTAGGAAGCGAGTCTTGAGTGTGTGGAGGTGTGCGGATTCAGATCTCCATGGCCATCGTGGTCCAGACCTGTGTGTGCCGCCGCCCCCTGCAGGTGCCATTGAACCCAGAGGCACTTTTGTGACAGAGGACTGGCAGAGGCCCTGCTGCCAGCGCATGAAAGTGAACTCTTCATCCCCACCACTCTGTTTCAGAACAAGAAGAAAACTTTGAGTTTATCATTGTGTCCCTCACTGGCCAGACGTGGCACTTTGAAGCCACCACGTATGAAGAGCGAGATGCCTGGGTCCAAGCCATCGAGAGCCAGATCCTCGCCAGCCTGCAGTCCTGCGAGAGCAGCAAGAATAAGGTAAGGCCCTCAGCAGGCTGTCCCCCAAAATCAAGGCCACCGATCGTTAAAGGGAAACGAAGGCCCACAGTGCTTCACCAGGGAGGACAAAAGCATCAGATGACATGCGCGGATGACAGGACCTGGCATTCTCTGCGGGCAGGAGACTCAGTAATTGCAAAGATCAGAGCATGCTGTGTCTGTCTTCCTCACGCACCATGTCCTGGGATCCTTGCTTGGCCACGTCGCGTGGCAGGACCTCTCATGTGAGGTCTTTATCAGCCTAATCCCAGGTAGCGAGCCCTGACGTTTCGTCGCAGGTGGTGGACAACAGCTTCTGTGTCCACGTTTATTGTTGTCCTTGTTGTTGTTTGGGGCAGAATAAATCAGGAAAAAGAGATGAGGACTTAAAAGATGCACATTTGCACTCTCATGAATAGATGCAGGGCCCACGCCAGCCGGGAAACGCCATGCTTGTCAGGAAACAGGAATGGAGAGCGGCCGACGGAAGCGGCACCCAGCGAGGGCAAGCGAAGTGCGCTTCCTGCTTTCTAAGCCGATGATGAAGCAGATGTGTGTGTGTTGCTCGGTGACAAGGGGATTGGTTTACGGTTATTTAGAAAAACATACATATATATCCATATATATATGCACACACACACATATATACATTTTCTAGGCTACTGCTTATTTACTAATATTTCTTCTATTAAAGCTATTTATTCTTTCTCTTTTTAAAAAAGAATAAAAGATAGTAGAGAAGTAGAAGTGATTCAGAAGTTATTTAGCAGTTCCTTCACTGTTACTGTTCTAATGCTTGAGAGTTTCTAACCCCCGTCCTGGGACATTTTAGACTCTTAGCATTTCGAGCTGTTCAAACTGATGGGCTAGAAACAGAAGGAGGACGCTGCCCACCATCGGGCGATTGTGTGCAGCTGTTTAAAGAAGCCTCTGCTGGTGGCTCGTGGTCAGCTCTGTCATTAAGAGGGAGTCTGTGCCAGCACCCGCGCGTGTCTTGTTTTATACCCTCTTTCACCAAGACGAAGCAGACCACAGTCGTCATTGTTGTGATGCAGTCTGCTTCCCTTTTGGAAGACGCTGTACACAGAGGGGGGAAGGAGCGTGATCTTTTATGCTGAGCCACATCCCCAGGTAGCCACACCGTCACTCCTGAAGGGAACTCGAGAAGCTTTTGATCTCTCTGTCGATGGGGAGCCGCAGAACGTGTCACGCACCGAGCGGGCGTTGGAGCAGGAGGCAGGGCCTGCGCACGGACGCTTCCGAGTTGCCGCAGCCAGGCGGCCGGGCCGGGCAGGCAGCGCACTGCTCCACAGCGGGCCGGCCATTGTCTTGCATCTAAGAGTCTGTGTGAGACAGCTGAGCTCAGGAAGAACCCCCAGCCCCAAATGCAGTGGATTTTGTGTGTGTCCCTGACACTGATCAGGTATTGCGTGAATTGCAGTATCAAAGGCTGCTTAACAAATGAGCCTATCTCAGGTCTGCTCTGGGTCTCTTAAAGTACACACCTGAATACAGGTGCACTTAGCAGAAAGCTCGGCAGGACGGATATCAAAATGTTAGTGCCAGAGGGAGGTGGTCTTCTTGTCTTTCTCCCTCTAGGCGCTTCCTAATCTCTGCAGGGTAAGTTTTAAGTGTAAATGCCCCCATGTGCTCACACTCTTCTCTGCCCCAACTCAGGTTGGTGACTTTGTTATTGTTACCACTAAGAAGTCCTAGGCGGACCACAGATCTCATCTCCAGCTAGTGGCAGTGTACGGAGGGCTTTCTCATGAGGAACCGTGGGGTTGCATCCTTGGATGCTGACATGATCAGAAGAGGTATTTATCTCTGCCGGGCTGCTCACGCATTGCTGCCCTGTCTCTTTCCTCTGTCCGCAGTCCCGGCTGACCAGCCAGAGCGAGGCCATGGCCCTGCAGTCCATCCGGAACATGCGCGGGAACTCCCACTGCGTGGACTGTGACACCCAGAGTAAGTACGGGATGTGGCCCACCTCAGTCACGTGTGGCAGAGTTTAAAATTTCTTTTGGGGGTTTCATGCTGACACAGTGCCCTCACGGGACTGTGCGGGCAGAGCATGCACTTGACCCTCTGTAGCCCTCTTGAGTCTCACGTGTGCCTGGGCATCAGGCCTGGGCCAGAGGTCCACACTGTGCCCCAGCTTGTGTCACACCTAGGCAGTGGATGTGACCTGGGTTTAGTCGGGGACCACACGTTGGACTTTCCTTAAGTGGAGTACAGTTGGCTCATTCCTGCCCAAAGATTTCTCTGTGCTTGCTGTTGTCATCATTGTTGTTCCTTAATTTAAGCTGAAATAGTACGTTGAGTTTTGCCACCAAATGATTTTTTAGTTTAAATCTGCTGTGCCCTGAAGCATTTGACTGAACCAATAGAAAGTATAATCACCGCGTCGTGCCTTAGAGCAGCCTGATCCTGTGCTGCTCTTTCTGCTGTCCCAGAGTGGTATTCCCTTTCAGAGAATCCCCTAGTTGTTTACGCAGACATCTGTCGTCTAACACTGGAATTCGGCTCCCACGACCAGGTCGTTAGCAGCGGTGTTCACTGGGTGGAGGATCACACTGTGTACAGTTCGTATTTACAGCACTCAGGCGAAGAGACAGCCCGAGGACACTCCACTTGGTGGCTTTGCTCTTGCCTGGTGATTCTCGCATGCAGTGCCGTGCTGTGTTGCAGAACGTAGCTACAGTGCTGTACAGGGCAGCCAGCAGCAATTGTAGTGCTGCACAAATAAGGGTGCTGTACCCCAAGACATGCAGGCTGTATAAATAAGAAGTATAGAACTATACAAAAGCCAGAAGATGGCTGTGAGGCCAGGTGGCACATCATGAGCCCAGGCATTAGCCCGGTAGGCTGTTCAATGAGGAGCGCCTATGACACCAAGAGTAGAGACTGACTTTACACTCTTTTTCCCAGCCCAAAGAAGTCACATGTGGAAAAAAAAAGAAGTCACATGCGGTAAACTCTGTCCATCTCAACTTTTTAGCATTTTGAGGGGAGGAAAATTGAGCTGAAGCAAGTCTCAGTGCCGAGCTAGGTGCTGCTGCCCTGGGTAGGCTTGGCCATGCTGGAGCCTGGGGACAAGGCCCAGGAGTGCGTGGCTGGCACCATGGAGAAGGACCAGTGGGTCACTCACTGTGAACTTCCTGCAGGAGCTGGCATTTGAGCGGGGTCCTGAGGACAGGAAGGGCTTGTGAAGGTGGGATGGCTATGGAGCCCGGGGTCCTGGGTGCACTTGGGAAGAACGGCCGTGCGGGCTGGCCCGGGGGCCAAGATGGTCAGCCTTTGTCCTTCAGTGTCAGCAGAGAGAAGCCAGGCATCAAAAGTGGTGACTTCTAAGATGCGCTGGGCACACTGGCCCAGCAGTCGCCCTGGATGGATTGTGGTCACCTACACAGAACTGGGGAAGCCCCAGCCCCAATCTCTCCTGGCAGAGGGGAAGGGAGGAGCCATCCCCGCGGGCCCCCTGACCAGCAGCTGGTGAGGGGGATGGCGAGTCTGCCTCGCTGCTGTCTTCCGTCCCTGCCCGTGGAGCCCTGGCCCGCACCACCCTGTGCTGACTTCTCCCACCACACTGCCAAGGTGTCAGGAACCCTTCTACCCGGGGTCTGCCTCATGTCTGGGGTCCTGTCCTTTCCTTCTTCGCGGCCCCCAGGCCTGCACACTGGGAAGGTCTGGGGCCCACCACTTCCAGGAAGCCCAGCAGAACCTATAGTGGAAGCCCGGCCTACCTGTTCTCTACTTGCCCTGACCATTGTCATCCAAACTCCTCAGGCCCCCATGTCACTTCTCAAAGAGGCTGTCCCCAACCACCAGGTTCATGTATATAGATTTTGCAGTGTTAGGGATGGAGCCCACACGTGCTGGTGCTCGGCCGGTGTGCACTGCAAGCCATTCCCCACCTCCCAGAGCTGGGTTTCAGTTGCTCCCTGGACTCACATGGTCCTTCTGGTGTCTCACAGCTTTCTCGTTGGCTCCTTGTCGATCTGTTCCACAGAACCCTCATCCTGCGTTGCTCAGGATTCGTTCCTCACCTCTCTGTCCCTAGAAGCAGCCACATTAACCTTGTTTGAATATAGGAAGGGACAAATCCACCATAGCCAACACCTCGTGGCACCGTGTGTCCCCTGTGACGGTCACGCCTGTGCACCTCACAGCTTTTAGTCCTCGTGTCAGCCCCGGGGATGGGCATGATCACCTTCCACTCTCAGGATGGAGCTGACAGTGAAGGAACCTTGCACAGAGCAACCTGGGCGGGGAGGAAGGGCTGCATGCAGAAGAAAGCCCTGGGGAGGAGGAGGAAGGTCCTGAGGGTCCACTGACCAGAACAGATGGGTGCCCAGCAGCGTGCAGAGTGAGGGGCCAGTCCAGCCTGCGGGAGGGTGAAGGAGAGATGGCCAAGTAACCCCGGGACCCAGTGGGGCCCTGTAAAGGGCTGTGGCTGCCACTTCTCAGTGGGCCGTGGAGATGAAGGCTGGATTCCAGAGGACAGAGGTGATGTGGGGAAAGCAGGGCTGGGAAGGAGGGTGGGGGCAGAGGAGAGCGGTGGGCCACACCACCTTCTCCCTAATGCCCCGCAAGGACGGCCTGACCTCTGCCAGTGGGCTCTGCTGCTGGTCCCTCCAGCCCCTGCCCCTGAGTACTTCCTCTTTGACTTCTCTTTTTCTGGTGTGAAGTCTCTGCATGTCTTTGTTCTGTTTCGTTCTGGTTTTATCTGGGGCCTGGGTTTCCCCTTCCCAGCCAGAATGTCTCCGAGGGCCCAGACCTCCCCTCTCACCTGGTATCTGCCAGCCCCTTGGCGAGAGTATGTGCTGGGGCTGAGGATGCACCTGCCTTTGATCTCTGTATGCAGGGCCATTCCTGGCCGCCGCTGTTGCACAACAAGGGGCACCTGCCCAGGCAGTCGGACATGACCAGCCCCTTGGCTTTCTGTTGCCTCTTGTAGTGCCCCTGGAGTGAGTGGTGACTGTCCTCAGAGGAGCTGAGCCCTGCTTCCTCCTGTCAGTGGTGAAAGCCATTGACCGTCCCAGTCCACCCCATCTGCACCTTGGCCGTAATTCATTAGCACACAGAGCCAGCCTGGCCGAGCTCCTGGCTCCTACGCTGCCTGGGGCTGCCTCTGCTCTGGTCCTTTCCCTGGTAGCAGCACTGCAGCCTAGAGTATCCCCCCTTCATATCAGAGTCCCCGGGATGGAGCTGACCAGAGCCAAATCCTGGGATGCTGCCCCAGGGCAGCCACCGTGAAGCATGGTGCTCTGTGGGTACAGCTGTGCTCCCCTTGAATGAAACCCCCAGGGCCAGGGATGCAACTCAGTGGTACAAGTGCCTGCCTGGCAAATGCCAAGTCCTGAGTTTGATTCCCAGTACAAAAAAGAATCCTTAAATGAGATCTCCAACATCGTGTTTTCTCCTCACCTCACTTTCACCTGGAAATCTGCACACTCCCAGCAGGGGCCTGAGGAAACCCTATGTAGCAGAAATGGTCTGAGAGGTGATGGCCCAGGAAGGCCCACTGTCAGCAGCTCTCTGGCACCCCTTCACAGCCTCTCCCAGTGGTGGACTCCAAGCAGCACGTGTCAGCCCCTCCAGGTGCAGGCTGGTGCTTGGTTAGAGGGAGAGAGAGCACCTTCCAGGCACACCAACCACACAGTTGTTTATTAGGTGGGAAACTCCAAGGCTCTGGCCTGACGCAGGTTTTCTGAAGCCAACACTAGCACACCCGATCCTTGTAGAGACCTAGAGCCACGGTGAGTTTTTCACGGGCCAGAGAGCACTTGGAGTCGCATGACGAAGTGTGCCATGGGCTGGTTTGTTATTCTCAGGCTCCTGTCCACTGAGAAAGAGTGCAGTGGTCCTACTGTGTGTGACCCCCCCTCTCTTCCCCTAGACCCCAACTGGGCCAGCTTGAACTTGGGAGCCCTCATGTGCATTGAGTGCTCGGGGATCCACCGCAACCTGGGCACCCACCTGTCGCGAGTGCGCTCCCTCGACCTGGACGACTGGCCCATCGAGCTGATCAAGGTGATGTCATCCATTGGGAACGAGCTGGCCAACAGCGTGTGGGAGGAGAGCAGCCAGGGCCGGACGAAGCCCTCCGTGGACTCCACAAGGTAGGACCCCTGGGGGACAGCCACCCTGGGTGTGGAATGACCTGTGCAGTGTCTACCTGCCGACATAGAAACACCCGTGTGCAGTTGGTCTTCAGCAGGTGGGGTGATTCTTTTTTTTTTTTTTTTTTTTTGGCCTTTTTGAGACAGGGCCTTGCTGTGCACTTTAGACTGGCTTTGAACTAAGTAGCGCAAGCTAATCTCAAATTCACACCAATCCTCCCGCCCAGCCTCCCAAGCACTGGGATTACAGGAATGTGCCATCATGCCTGGCCAGGGTAATTCGGACTTCTTAATATTTTATGTTTGTTTTTAGGCCTTGGGGACCTCTCTCCCCTTCTTAGAAACCTATTAAGCTTCTAACCTTATCAATATATTACTGTAATTAATACATTTCTAATGGCATAAGCTGTGCTAACCCCAATTGTGCACTTTAATTCTTTCATTTTGTTATTCTTGTATCCATGGTGAGCATCTGGTCCCCCTCCCCCATCACCACCCCCAAGCAAGTGTATGGTAAGAAAATATATTTTATTTTTGAAAGTATGTTTCTAACACATTTAGATACTCTTCATTAAGGCTAATTATTATCCACTGGGGGAAAAAAGCATCATTTATTTTGAGGCCATTTAGTTTCTCATTTTTCACTTATAACTCTTAGAAACTGGCTTTGTGGTGAAGTAGTGCTGGTGGGAACAGGCTGGCTCCTCCCTGCGGGGTGCGGGGCTCCTCCGGGCACCTGAAGCAGGTGGCCCTGTGTGCGTCCTGCCTAGGAACCTGGGCCCTGAGGGCTTCCGCGGAGGGCAGGCAGTTCTCAGGCGTCTGCCTGGCTGGGGGAGGGAGGCGGAGGCCCAGGCCACCAGCTCCTGCAGGTCTGCTGCCTCTGGTGGTGTCCAGATGGTGGTCACTCCTTGGCTGAGCCGCAGGAAGCGGCTTCCACCACTGGCTGTGAGCGCAGGCAGAGAGTGGGGCCTGCAGCACGAGCAGCTGTGTGGTGGTCCTGTGGGTCGCGAGAGCGCGTGCCACGGTATCCCCACACCCTGACCACTGGTGCCTGCAGGCGGGGCAGAAGTGTGCTGCTGGTGCAGAGCTACGCTGTGCAGCACGGACGCCGCTTTCTTACAAACTGGGGAAAACTCCTACCCTGATTCGAACATTATCAGCTTGAGCATCAACTGTAGAAACCTTCCACATACCAAGCCATGCTCCGCTACCAGGTGTCTCCATGGAAGTGGCCTTCTGGAGAGAGTCTCAGTGCAGGATGATTGTAAGCCAGAGCGGAGTCGGTGGATGAGGGAAGAAAACGGAAATAAGCTCCACAAACTAACTGTACACCTTGTGGTTTAGGTTCCAGGGGAACACATACATTTTCTTATACTATCAAAAGGGATTTTTTTTCCCTACCCATTAAAATTAGAAACTGTTGGAGTAGTGGGTGTCACTCGGTAGTAGAGCATTAGCCACCCCCGGCCCCAAGGCCTTGGGTTCAATCCCCGGCCCTGGAAGAACAACCAATGAGAATGATTAGAAGCAAATGCATTCATTTACATTTAGATGTTAATTTCTTCATTCATAAGTGAACACGACATGTATTTTATAGTTCTAGTCTGTATGCTTAAGCTCTTGAGTACATGACTTTCGGTTCTATCTGCTGCTGCATATGTCATGTCTCTACACTTTAGCAGTGGTCGGGAGTCTTCCTCAGTCACAAATGGGACAACTGCCGTGCCCTTCCTTCCGAGGTCGTACTGGCTTCCCTAAAGAGCGGCGCTCAGCTGCCCTTCCCCTGGTGTGGTGTTTCCAAAGGTAAATTTTGAATGACTTGGCTCGCCCACAAGGCAAGCGGTGTGCGTGAGGATGGAATGTGTCTTTGGGCCTAAAATATCCCCCGAGAATGTTGCTTTTGATCCTGTTTGGCAAACCTTCACTGAGCACTTTCTTATAGAAGAGAAACAGTAAATGAAAAGGCGGACTCTGCCATGAGAGTTGCATGTTCTTAGGGGGGCTGAGGATGCCGAGGCGGGGCAGCATGCACAGATGGGAGGGATTCTGACTGCCAGCGTGCTCAGGAAGGCCTGGGAGTGTGGAGTGGTCTGAACGCAAGCCGTACCGCAGTGGACAGACCCAGCCTGAGAACAGGGGTGCGCACCAGCACGCCTCTCCCCAAGGGGATGGTGCATGAGGAGCCAATGGGAGGTCTCAACCACGCGAGGGCGTGGGAGGACCTTCCAGCCTGGGTAGCCCACCACCACCACTCTGGTGGGGCGTGCAGAATGGTTTGGTCTGTTTAGTGTTCAGTGTGTTCCCAAGAGGACCACAGTCAGCCAGTCGGGTGAGTGGGAGATTCAGAGATGAGCCTGGGGGCCACTGTGATAGTTACGATTTGTGTCTGGATGTTCCCACCCCCAGCCCCCAAAGCCTTTTGTTGTCCTGGGCTTTTCAGAGGCAGCTGAATATAGAGTTTGTGATTGAATCATAGTCCAGTGCTTGGGATTAAGGGTGTGAGTGCTATGCTCAGCCTAGGCCAGGTTGCCTGCATGCCACATAAGGGACAGAAAGTCTTTCTCTGTCTGTCTGCCTTTCTCTTTCCCACATATTGCTTTTGCTGTCTTCCACCACTGTGGACTGTTGCCTTCTGCCATGTGCTGCTCTGCCTTGGAGCCAGGTGATTATGGACTGAATCCTCCACAAACTGAGAGCTAAATGAACCTCTCCCCCTTTAACCTTGGATGTAGGGGTATTTTGACTCAGCAACAAGAGAAAAGTAACTTAGACATTGGTCCAGGTGGAGCATAGAGGTAGCCTTCAAAACACTGTCCCAAGCACACAGCCCAACAACACAGGGCCAGTGCAGACCCCACCACCTGCACACCTCCTGCAATATGGGCCACCACCACCACCCCGCAGGGCGCCCCATCCACTCTAGGGCCTGCCTGTCCGAGAGGTCCTTCTCCACCTGCTGGTCAACTCCTTCCTTCTGCAGGAGCTGGGATGGCAAGCAGAAGCAGCCCAGGGATCTTTTCATGTGGCCCAAAGGTGATACCCAAAAGAAAGATTCTCACAGAAGTCTGTGTCTATCCAAGGAAAAGCCAAGTCCAGTTCTTTGCAGAGAGGCCCAGATGTTGTCTTAAGGGGCTCTGGTTGGTTCCATCTTGTTCAGAAGATTCATTGTGATGGTGAAATAGAATTAGACATGTTCCACTCTCATGAACACACACACACACACACACACACACACACACACAGAGTGAAGGACCATGGGGAAGAGGAACACAGCAGATCTTTCTTTCTCCAGAGAAACAACCCTTCCCCAAAATACTGCACGTCAGCGTCACCCAGGCCTGCAGGCAGCTGAGGAGACAGGCTCCCGGCACAGCTGGCTGGCCTTCTGCCTGTTGTCCCCGCACCCCCATTAGGGCAGCTCCGGAGAGCTTATAATTGGTTCCAGGGATTCTCAGCTGCTCTGAGATCTGCCGTTCAAACTTGAGCAGCATTGTGATCAATCGAAGCTGACGGCGGCTGAAGCACTATTGACTTCCCCTTCCTAAACAGGGGAATCATTAGTCAAGGAAAGCATCTTTTAATTACTCCCAGGAAAAGGAAAAAAATCTTTTTGGATGGATTCTGCAGCAGCTGACATTTTTTTCTAGCACATTCGATATTAAATTTATTGTCGCGGGAGGGGAGAGGATGTCCTTCATCCCCCTCTGTAATGGGGGTTTAATTTGGAGAAAGAATCACCTTGGGGGAGAGATCGATGAGACAACAATTAACTACATCTGGGGTGGAATCAGAATTTCCTTCTCTAATTGCTATTGATACCATTTAAGCACACACTTAAAATATTGACTTTAAATGGGCATGGTTAAGTGCTGGAGAGGGTGGGCAGAGTTAACTGGATTTTAGGGCAATGGCCGGTGTTTGTGTCTGGGGCCCTAATGGGCCACCAGGCGGGCAGGACTCTGGGTTCCCATGTGAGGACATGGAACTGTCACCTATGGGGAGAAGGTAGCCTCAGGACTCTTTGATGACCCCTGCCAAAGCGAGAATAGTAAACTCAGAGGTGGAGGCACAGCAGCTGTCACACGAACATTTCCTGAGCCAAAGGAGTAGGAGGGAGGGAGGTGGTCACGGTGCCTGTCACCCAGGTCAGGTGTCCTTGGCCTCAGGACTCTGTGTGCTCACAGAAACAGGGGCATAAGCAATGCCACTGGGGCCGCTCAGCAGCACCGAGACCCCAGGTTGTCACTCCTATTGCACACAGGAGCCCGGGCGCTTACCGTTTCGAAGGTCATTTCCTCCCAGGCTCTGGCAGATCCCTCCTGGCAGAGCGCCCTCTGCTTGGCTGCCTGGCTCCCCGCACCGTCTCTGTCCCCTGCCTTGGCCAGGGAGGTCTGCAGGGACCTCGTTGTCTGCACTTGCACACAGGTAGCCTGTTTACACAGCACATGGGACCCTGCTAAGGTGGGCCCAGAAATCAGAGCAGCCTGGAAGCGCAGGACTGCGCCTCTCTCCATGGCAGAGCTCTTGAGAGAAGCCCCTAAGTCACCACTACCTCAGTGATGCCACACGGAAGGGAACGGGCTGGCTGATTCAGTGCACATTCTTTTCCCCTTTTTAGCATCCTTTTTTCCTTTAAAAAAATTATTTGTAAGTTCACCTCCCTGCCTAAACTCCCTTCTTGTCTCTAACCTATAAAAAGATGTCACCTTCGATAGGAAGATGAGGGCCCACATCAGAAACCTGCGTGGGAGAGACTGGCCGCGCACTTCCAGACGGAAGCAGTCCGCCCAGCGCGGGGAGTGCCGTCTCCTTTTGATTCCGCAGCACCGCTTTCATCTTATTTATGCACATGGAGATATTGATAAAGGGGAAATGTATCCAAACTGAAAATAATTGGATCCCTGCAGCCGACTCTGAGGTATTAAAAGCAGCACCACTTGGCCACATCTTTGTCTTGTTGGGTTTGATCATCAGGTCACAATATCATAATCTGAGGCTCA